GGCTTGTAGATCCTGACACATGTTTATTGTTGTCAACCTTGTTTCCAGGACAGGAAGTGATGAGAAATCTCCATGACAGGTACACATACCTCAATAAAAAAAATCTGCAATAGTTCTAATCCTTTCCCCTCAATCCTAAACTAAAAGACACATGAATGAGGTATAATGTATACGTGAATATTACTGTGTATTAAATATTTGCTTTTTATTTTGCAGGTCCTGGACTGGCCTTTGTGGTATATCCACAAGCCATGACAATGCTTCCTCTGTCTCCTTTCTGGTCATTCCTTTTCTTCTTCATGCTTTTGACTCTGGGATTAGACAGTCAGGTAAGCAGTTCACTTTAAAACCCAACAATTATCTTTTTTTTAACATTGGTTTGTGTGAATACTGGTGCTCAGCAAAAAAAGTAAGGTAAAATGAATTCTTATAGTAATGATCATGTCAATCACATATGAAAAAATGTGTATTTCCAAACACAAACACTGTGGTGTTTCAGTAAATAAATATTCATATTGATAAAACCCAGTGCATTCAGACACACCCACCATATTTTTACTATAATTTTTTTAATAATGTTTCATATTATGATTCTGTGTTTTTTTACACATTTTTAGGATTCTAAAGGTTAAATTGCACTTTTTTGTGTGTGCTTTTTTGTAATTTAAGCACTGCCTGTATGCTTGCTGGCAGCCTATGTATTTTTAAGTAAACAAGATGCTCCCAGCTCTTCTAGGGGGGTATCCCTTCTTAGAATTATTCAGCTCCATGTGAACTCTACTGTAACCTGCGTCCTGCTGCTTGTCAGGTTTAACGCAGTCTAATCAGCTCTGTCCTGTCCGTAAATCAGTCTCCAAAAAGCTGTTGCCAAGACATTGCTGCTGCACATGATAAATATTAAAGTTTAGCTCTATATTTACATAATAAAATTAAAATAATGAATATGATATTATACAGTATTTGTACCTTTACCATACCCTTGGCAAAAGCTTCACCCAAATGACAACTCCCCACCGTTGCTTATGCTTCCTCCCTTTCACTCTCCTGCTGCCCTGTTCACCTGTGATTGTAAGGAGATTAATTTTATGTAAGTTCTAAGTCAGAACTTGCATAATTCTATTCTGACAGGAGCCGTGTCAGAATAGAAAATATATAGATATATATATATATTTTTTTTTTGGCCATAGGAATGCATTGCTAGATTCCTATTGGCTATTTCAATTTGCAATAGCCAATAGCAAACTAGCTATTATACCTGCCCTCTGCTGCTGTCAATCAGTAGTGGGGACCTGATGGAGAACTGCGGGTGCAATGCTAGTTTGCTATTGGCTATTGCAAATTGAAATAGCCAATAGGAATCTAGCAATGCATTCCTATGGCCAAAAATATATATATATTTTTTTTTTTTCTATTCTGACAGGGCTCCATGTCAGAATAAAGAAAAAAAAAGAAAAAGCAGTGTTTCTCTCCTTGGCGGCCAGGAGCGGGAGACTCCAGGAGCGCCCGGGAGAGTTTGCTGTCTGGAGATCAGTGTCCCTGGTTAGCTGGTAAGATCACCGCTGGCTCCGCCCAGCTGTCAGAAGCAGGCTGAATTTATTTTTTTCTATTCTGACACGGCTCCGTGTCAGAATAAAGAAAAAAAAAGAGAAAGCAGTGTTTCTCTCCTTGGCAGCTGGGAGCTGGAGAGTTTTTTTTCCTTTTCTTTTTTTTTTTACGGCAGCAGAACCGCCGGCCACTAGAAAACTGTTGGGCGGAGCTAGCTCCGCACAATCGTTTTCTGTTTATTTTTTTCTACTTTTTAAACTATTTTTCTGTTCTGCTTGGTACCACAGAGGGACCGAGCAGAACAGCCGAGCCGAATGCCGCTCAGCCGAACAGTTGTGAGTAGCCTGCCGGAGGTTTGGCTTAGCCGATCCAGATGTTGGATCGCCTGAGTCGAACTCCTTCTGCACTTCGGGTCGGCCGAACATGCCGAGCATGTTCCGCCGACCCGAAGCCACCCAATGTACAGCTGATTTGAGCCGATATATGGCTGAAATCAGCCTTACCAGCCTGAAGTGAATAGCCGAACAGCGTTCGGCTCACTTCGCTTTAGGTCGGTCATTCACTCGGCTGCCTACTGCAGCTTAGTGAATAGACCTCATAGTTTGGTAAGTTTGGTGTAGAGGAACTCGTGTCACATGCACAGTAGTCTGACCTCAATCCTACTATACAACTTTGGGATGAACTAGAAAGCTGATTGCAATTGTCTTCTTATCCAACATCAGTACCTTACCACATAAATGGCATTTGTGCATTTGACACACCCAACAAATCTTGTGAAAAGCCTTTTGGCATTTGTGCATGTGACACACTCTAAAATACTGTAGAACGCCTTTCCAGAAGAGTAGAGGCTGTTAAAGCCCCAAAGGAGAGGGGAGGGTCCATATTGATAGGTGTGAATGGCAGGTCTCCACACTTTTGACCCTATATAGCGTATAATCGAGCAGGCACCACATTCTTTTACTGACACTGTTTGAGAGATCTTCTCTCCTAGGCCACCAACAGAAAGCTAGATTGTAGTCCCATTTTCTGATGATCATAGTCATCATTCTTTATCTAATGTCTATCAGAATACTGAAATTGTTAAGTCAGTAAACGTATCAAAGAGAACAGTTCTACATACAATACATTAATTGGGCTAAAATTAGATGGACACACACTGCATGCTAGTAAACCTGTATATCTCACGAGGCTTAGTCAGTTAGTGCCTGATCATCACATGACTTTTTGTTACTTGAGTGAATGCTGCAGGTTTGCTTTCTCCTATTTTCATGCAGGATATTATTTGTGTCCTCCGCAGTTTGCCTTCATGGAGACCATTGTGACGGCCATCACAGACGAGTTTCCCTATTACCTCAGACCAAAGAAAGCTTTTTTCTCTTTTATCATCTGTGTTGTGCTGTTTCTGCTAGGGTTGATCCTCACCACTGATGTAAGTAATCTCTGTAGATTCTGCTTTTTCCATGGACCACTAAACCTAATACCAATGATAAAGCACCCATAGACAGCACCTGATCAGTTTTTTATTTTTTTGGCTGGAACAGGTGACGTGCTCTTGTCTCTGAGTGCACTGCAGACACCACCAGGTGACACATCAAGAAATTGAAGCCCAGATACTGCTAAAATCTCTTTGCTAATGTTGTGCAGGCTGGAAAAAAGTACACATTTTTGGTGGGTTTTATTGCCTGCTGTAGCAGATATTTATATTTTAGAGATATTTTCCCTTGCTTTTGGTGTCTGTGACACTAACACACAAGGAAAGGAAGCTACAGAGGTTTTAAGTCTTCCACACTCCACAGACTTTTAGTTGTCTGTCAGAGACATTGCTAGGTTTGAGAAAAACCAGGACACACAAAATTATTAAAGTTTGCAGAATGCATTGCGTACTTCAGCAACAAAATGGAAATGTCTATGAGGTGCTTTACAGTGGGAGTGGTTAAACTGAATGGAAGTCTACTTGATGTACTGTATATACTTCACTTGCATGTCTCAGTACTCGTGCCAACAAAATATTTTTCAAAATGTTTGGATATAGTGGTGAGGGAATTTTTTATTGAAGTCTGTGTCCCCATTAGGGAGATTCGCCATCCCTATTTGTTCTGGTGACCTCTGTCATAGAGACAGAAAGTGATGGAAAAACCCAAAAAGTTCTCATCAAAGCAAAAGGTGAGGGAAAACCCTCTGATGGGAATACCTTTTCCTATGACAAATCACTAAAATGGGAGTTCTGTTCACTGTGTAGAGATTTCATCTAATTTCCTGTTGCAACTCAATGACAGGAAGTGTATGGAAATTTCCTGAGAGACACAGACACCAACAAAATAACCGGGCAGGGGTTCGTTATATTTACCCGGCGGGATCCAAAGCAGGGACTTGCCTGGCAATCCCCCAGGATCCAATCTGCTGCAATCCGGGTCACGAGATCGCAGTGACAAGCAGTCACTGCGATCGTTGATACATTGTGACAGCCAATGATTCGAATCATTGGCTATCAGCAGTGCCTCTGCTTCTCTCTCTCCACAGTGTGATCTGAGGCGAGAGTAGTAGACAGATCGGTGTTACAAAAAGTAGCCAGTTATAATAAGGGGGGAAAAAAAAACCTTTATTTAAAAATTAAAAACCCTTTATTGCTGATCACAGTTTTATAACTGTGATCACTCTGATCAGTACAATAGCACTGTTCAGGATTGTTGGGGTGTATTTTTCTCTTTTTTTTGTTAATTGTACCCATTTTTAATAATTTTATTTAAAAACAATGAAGTCTTTCAGCACTGATCACAGTTTTATAACTGTGATCACTCTGATCAGGACAGTAGTACTGTTCGGTATACTGTATTCAGGTGTGATTTTTGCATTTTTTTAAATTATAATTTTACCCTTTGTTAGTTTTACCCATTTTTGACTCTTTTATTTTTAAAAAAAATTAACCCTTTCAGCGCTGATCAGTTTTGTTGCTGTGATCACACTAATCAGTACAGTAGTACCATTCAGCATTTTTGGGGTGTGATTTTTACCTGTGTTTTACATAAAATGTAACCTTAAAGTTTTTTTACACTTTCCGTAGTGAAAAATGCAGAGTCTGTTACAAAAAAGAAGTTAGAAAAGACTCTAGCTACCATTGCCCTTCCTGTCCATCTCTACTAGGCCTATGTATCACAGACTGTTTCAGAGTCTACCATACACAGCTAGATTAATTCAAATTATTGTGTATGTGACTTGACTTATAAGCGATTATTCTGTGTACCTGACTTCAGCTTGTCCTATACCAACTACTCTGACTTATGGATCCCCTGACCTTGGCCTGTCCCCATTTACGTTAAACCCATCATTCTAAAATCATGATACAGTGGCTACACAAAACAACACAAAATAGTCCATTTGGAATACCCTGGGCTGTCTACCTTTGAAAATGGTTTGCCATTATTTTGGAATTTTTCTTTCTCAAAGGCAACATAGACCCAGTAAATCAATTTTGCAACGTTTTGAAATGGGTGTACAATATATTTAGCCCTGTAACTTTCCAAAAAAACTGTATAACCCGTACATGGGGGTACCCGTTAGAATACTCTGGGTTGTCTACTTTTGAAAATGGTACGATATTATGGAAATATTCTATTTCCAAGGCTGCCATACTGTCTCAAAGGCAACCTAGGTCCGGAAATGCAATGTGCCAAAATTCCATATATGATGACTGAAATGAGCAAGCCCCATATTTGGCCCTGTAACTCCCACAAACCCAATTAAACCCGTACATGATGTACTCATGGGACATAGAATACAATTATAGGTGTTTTATTGCAGTAAAACATTTCACTATTATGATATTCCCAATAAAATGTGTGTGTGCATGTTTGGAAAAATGAAACTGTCTTACTTTTTCATAATTGGTTATATTTTATTCATATATAATTACAGTTAATTTATAAATATTTGATGTCAGACGAAAGCCCTATTTGTCCAATATATAATAAGTGTGGGTGCACTTAATGTGAATAGGTAAATTATGGTTGAACAGACATATAGCTCAAATTCTATGTTTTGTTTACGGTCAGACAATTGCCTCCATCCTAAAGGGGTTAACATACAGGGTGCATGGCATGTGGGCTGTGTGTTCAGAGCTAGGACACCTAGGCAGTCTATGTCAAAGAGATTACTTAACAATTCTTGTCCTTGTGGCTCTTGTCATTAGGACAGGAAGTAAGAAAATCTTCCCAGTGCAGACATAGGCAGCAATAAAAACCTGACATAGGCAGCAATAAAAACCTGACATAGGCAGCAATAAAAACCGGACAGAGGTTATAACGTTTCTGTAAACTATCTAAAATTGAAAAACAAAATGTGGGTTGCGGTCAGGTTTTTAGCAACCAGACTTTTTGGCTGGCCAACATCTTGCCTCGTAAAATCCTGTGATTCTAACCATGAACAATTATTGAAATTATATTTACCTTTGCTGTGTAGCATACGTTGGGTGTTAAACTGATCAATCATTTCTTGTAAATATATTTTTATTGAGATTTTAATACATGTACATACAGTGTAAATTATTCAGAATGGTACATGGTTAGCAATGTTTATAACTGATATTATGGTGATATATTGGTCATTTACCATACAGATCGGTAAGTAGCAGAAGGGTACAAGCACTTTCTGAAAACTGAAAGATGAGGTTTAGTGCCAAAGCAGTGTTTCAAATATTTATAGGTCGCTTTTAGAAAACCAAGCTGATATACAGTATAATTAACTACTGGGTATTATCTAACTATCAGTATGTACCTTTCACACCCTTTTGTTAATGGCGACAGTAGAAATATTTTATGACTTTATTTGTTGTAATACCTTTTCTTGTGTTTTAATGCTCAAGGGTGGAATGTATTGGCTGGTCTTTTTGGATGACTACAGTGCTGGATTTGGCCTCCTGGTGATAGTGATCACATTCTGTCTTGTGGTTTCAAGAATATATGGTAAGAAGTATTGCCTGGATTTGCCACAAAGGCACGTGTAACTAGTGCCGTGGGCAACATGTCGAGGGGGGGAAAAAGGCTCAGGTCTAGTTCACACCAGATGCAGGAGTGATGCAGCCTGTCCAGTTTGGCAGTGACATCAACATTATGTCACAATGCATTCCAATGGAATTTCTGGTGCTCTGTTCACACCAGTGTAGTCCGTTCTGATGCAGTCAGAAAAAAATACTGCTTGCCTCATTTTAGCTGCACATGTTCGCAAAGGAAAGCATCAGAAACGCATACAAATGCACTGGACTGCACCTGAAAGCCCATTTTAAGCTAAAAAAAGAAAAAAACTTGTAAAAATCGCTGTAAAAATGCGCAAAAACGCATCGCACTGTAGCTGTGCAGATGCATGCACTTATGGTGTGAACTAGCCCTCAAAGTGTGCATTTTTTTTTAATTTTTTTTACTCATTTTGTTTCACTCTTCTGGCCACATATTTTGTTATTTTTAGTACTGGAGATCTGTATAGACGTTAAAGGCTAACTAATCTGAAACTGACAACTCTGTTTTAGGTAGATGCAGGTTAATCAGCCATCCACTGGCATTTTATAATATTTGGGGTCTCTACAAAAGTAGTCACTCTTTTCATATCTTGGCTCTCACTTCTGTCATTTGGCTTCATAGTGGACAATATATTAGAACTATGCCTGCAAGTTACATTCATTGGGCTTGGCATGAATTCACAAAACTGTCGCGGGACATCTTCTGACAGCGGGTTGACATGATTTATGAGCACTTCTGGATGATGTGATTGACGTTAAATTGACATTGTTTGCTTTTGTATTTACTTTTATCTCTTTCTGGGAATGAGTAATTAGGGGTACTAGTGTACCCTGTACTCATTCTTTTGGGGAAGGGGAATATATGGGGGGGTCTCCATATTATTAGGTTTCAAGATTTTGATAAAAGGGATAAGACCCTTATCCCTTTGCCAACATTGGGACAAAGTGCCATGCAAGGGGGAACTTTGGAAGGTACTCTCCCAATGTAAAAAGCATGTGGCCCGGTATGGTTCAATATGGGGAAAGGAATGTATATCTGCTGCCCTTTCTTTTCTGGCCACCCAGGCTGCATGCCAGGATAAGGTTGTGGTTGAAATTTTAAGAGGAATCCCATGAATTTTTCCCTTTTTAAAAAAAAAAGTACATTACACCTTAAAAGGAAAAAAACAAAAAGGCATAGGATTCTCCTTAAAATTCATTCAAATTCCTTATGCAGCCTGAATGACCAAGAAAGAGCAGTAAGCCTGTGGCCTTCCCTACTGTGCTCCATACGTTGCAAGGGCACCTTGCATGGCACCTTGTCCCCAGATTGAGGGGACAAAGGCCTCATTCCCACATCCTGTCCCCAAATGGGATATGGAAGTTTGCAATGGGGGACTTATCAGAATATGGAAGCCCCCTTTATAATAAGGGGGCACACAGATATCTAGACCTCCCCCATATGTGAGTGAGTATGGGGTACTCTACTAAAAAAAGTTAGTAAAGGGGGTGTAAATAAACGTCCTTTATTAACACCCCCCTCCCCCTCAAAAAAAAAAGAAGCTAAACAATGTCCCTTGATGTAAATCAGTAAATCCAACATCAGTTACGTTGACATGGGGATCTGTCATTTTGTAGTGATAGTGCTACTGCCGCAAAATGACAAATTCCTTTGTTTGTATACTAACAAGCTGGGGGTGCTACAAACAGAAGACAGTCGATGATCTGTCATTTTGTATCAATAGTGTGGTGGGTCAGCATTGGGAGGGTGCTCCCTCACTGACCTCTTTTTCGTGAGGACACAGGCTATATGCCTCTATAAGGTCATGGGATGAATTATGGGAGGAATCCAATGCCATTTTTTTCCATTGTTTTTTAATGTGTATTGCCCCTTTAAAAAGGAACAAATACACTGTGACAAAGTCCTTCATTTAAATAAAAATGCAAATAACATCCTATAATGTAACTCTAGTATCAATCATATCATCCAGCAAAGTAGATGTAGCATTAATCAAGATGACTCGCTGCCAAGGTGACCTGACAATCTTTCCCCTTCATACTACTGCTGCAGAATGACAAATCTCCAGCCGATCTATGTTCGTCAACAAACAGGCTAGGGATCCTGGATTATGTAATTTACTAAACATGGTCATGACCATATTTGTTAAATGATATCACCTAGGATGGTTTGTTTACAAACAGAAGTCGGCTGGTGATCTGTTATTTTGCATTGGTAGTGCTACCACTGATAAAAGTTTAGCTGCGAACCTCCAGCAAACCAAATTGTGCAAAGGTTTTTCAGTTTGCTCATTTCAAGTCTTCATACACATACCTAAACTATCAGATTAGGCCACTTTGGATATAATGTTTTGCTAATCTATAGCACATCCTGCAGAGAAAAAGGATCTGATCTGAGGGATGGGTGGTAGATCAAGTTGTATAATGTTGAAGCACATTGGCCAGCCTGTATGCTATTTACCAACCATGTATATCCTTCCCAATGCAGTTTGCAAAGTTCTGTTAGATGTTGGATCCTTAAGGACCTGTGTTGTCCAGCTGTGGGTTTTTTGTCGATGGCATCTGTTTGTCACCAGTTTGAGATGCTTCTGGGATAATTCGGAATGAATTGACAATACATTGGTCAACTTGCCCTGCAGCTGACCTCCTTCTAACGTGCTTCAAACAGGTTTTGCAATCCCATAGACTTATATGGGAATTCAAAATCCATTTGAAGCAAACAAAAGCCCATCGACACAGACCTTAAATTGGCTGTTTGCTTGTCCAAAGAATCTCGCTATAGACTTGATTGTCAATAGACTTGTAGAAAATGGTGAGCATTTACTTGCTGTGAATGAAACTTTGTTAAGCCTATCCCACCTCAACCTAAACACTCAACCATCACGTTGTCAAACAATTCATCCCCACACAGCTATCTCCTCAAGTATCACTTCTCCCTCACTTTTAGATTGTAAGCCCTCAGGGGCAGGGCCCTCCTTACCATTCTGTCTTGAATTGTATTGTGATTGTAAAGTCTTCCTTATATTGTAAAGCGCTGTGCAAACTGTTGGCGCTATATAAATCCTGTATAATAATAATAATATTAATAATAATAATGTCCACTTGTCTAGGAATAAAGTATTTTTGCCGAGATATACAAATGATGCTTGGATTCAAACCAGGAATCTATTTTAAAGCTTGCTGGGCATTTTTAACACCGGTTACATTATTGGTGAGTAGATTGGACATATCTAATATTTGTTTTACGAAAGATCAGCATGGTGGAAAATTGGGCCAGAAAATCATGAGATTTGTAAACACACACAGTCACGTTCTGTCCGTGCTAGTCACAGGCATTTGACTACCCCAACAACTATACTATAAAAACAATTGTCAGCAGGTATAGTTTTAAGGTTTATCTGGGGCTGGCAAATGCAGAAGCCCAAAGACTCTGGATCAGAAAAAGTCCAGGAAACGTTGACAGCAGTAATGGTGTAGCAATGTCACATCGCTGGAGGAGGGCATTCTAGGAGCTAAGTATGTCATAATGTGCAAGTAAGCTGTGTATAGACATTATTGCAAGATCTCTGGGGGTCCATATCAACTAAATTTCCACTTTAAAGCAAAACTAAACCTACTGTTTTAAATGTATGCCAAAAGGAAAGCTTAAGTTAGAAATGTTCAATAATTGTTATTAAATCCTTATTCACTTCAGCTCTCACACCTTTACATCCCCTATGGACCAGAGCAATTTTTACATTTACAATTTTTAAAGCGAGGGACCTGTTTATTCAGAAAGAACTTTGTCTTTACTGAAGACAACAAAATAATAAAGATGGGTATTGTTTAGGGCAAACAAGGCTTTCTTTTGGTGATATTGTCTTACAAAGATGAATTCATTGTTTTAATTAAATCCATAGACTAAAAATGTAAAAAAACTAAAACAGATTTTTTTATACTTTGAACAGTGATAGTTAATGTTACTGTAGACACAAAGTATACATTGTATTCATAAATTTGTTCTTTTAAAAATAACACAAAAATTATAATTCTGGTACAAAACATTGCAAAGTTATTTACAAATGAAATAAAAGACTTTAAGTTTACTCTTTTTTGAATGTGAAACGAAAAAAAATAAACTGATTAAATATTAGGGGTTAGAATTTTTTTTTTTTTTTAAATAACCAGGAAAATATAAGTTAAGGGGAGAAGGGGAAGAATTAGTTAATTAGGGCTAAAGCTCATCCCTTTGATCTGCAGGCACTGTGCTTGGTGGACAGTGGAATAGAAGGGTTTAGTTCCACTTTAAGGGCATAAACATTAAACAGCATTACAAACAATAAGGTTCTAACTTCTAATATAGCTGTGTCAAACAAATAGAACTCAAAGTGGGTGGGGAACTCGTTGGATAGCAGAAGGCCTAATACCTGTGCTCATGAACTTCAATAAATACACTCTCTGAAGTCCACAACACATAAGCCAATCAGGCCATAATCTTAACCTAAACATCTTTAACATGCAAGATCTGCACATCCTCACAGCAGCCAAGGGTCTCCTTCACTAGTGCTCAAGGAGTTGTCAAGTATAATGTGCTATATATACATATATATATATATATACACACACACAGACACACACACATACACACACTTTATATTTACATAAACATCATACATGCAGATACAGATACACCGACTCCTACATTTCATTGATTAAGGTATATGCATTTCTCATGGATTAAAAAACAAAACTGTCTGGTGGACAATAATTTTCTGTTTTAATGTAGTAAAAAACTAAATCATAGAAACAAGCGATGTGTTGAAAGACTGATAGAGCAGACATGTTGAGGAAATCGCTGGGATTGCATAAGTGACAGATTGCAGTATCCCCAGGATTACTCAGAACCCTTCTCTGTACACTCATTGCAGTCCCTCTCTATAAATACATTCTGCTTTGGACAATTGATTAACTGCATCATTTACACATCATAAATCTGAACATGGCAGAAAACCTTTAAAATATAGCATATTAAATAATCCACACTGTGCATCTGTTTTATCATTTTATTTATTGCAGAGAAGTGGCAGCACTGGTAAAGGTAATGTTAGGTGACTGTGTCTGTTATTTTTGCTTTGCCATGTGTACAACTTCTCGCGTAGCAATGTTTGGCAGATTTATACAGTGTTTTTCTGTCTTGTGCCTATTACATGTGCAACTAGATAAGGGCATTGGATTGTGCCAGGTACACAGTGTTTTTTTACCGACTGTGTCCTCAATTATCCTGCAAGATTGCTTAAAAGATAACCACAGCAGTGGATCACTATGAAGTTAATATGAATACTAACCTGGGTCCCATAACTCCACTAGTAGTCCAGATCCTTGGCATTAAAATTGATGCGTGGTGGTTTAAATTACCCCATTGTTTCTTATATATCTTTGTACCTTCAGCTTGGTTACCTTCCCGTAAGTATTCCTGAGTCTCTCTTTTCTCTGAAGAGTACACTAAATGAAATATAGAACCCTTAAGGAGGGTAAATGACTACAGCAGGTGGCAAAATGTCCAACTCAGGCCAAGAAAACTTTTTATAGGATTGACCAAGGAAGTGACTGCTTCAGCCCACAATTGTTTAACCACAGGTGAAATATTAGTTTTGGTTGGACTGACCATTGGACTGACCATTTTTAAAGATCAGTAATTTAATTGAAAAGAAGAGTAGATCATGAACAAAATGCTAGAATAAACTATGTAGGACTCCAGATTATTTGAAGGAATAGCTATCTGTAGCATCAGAAGCATTGCTGTCACAACATTGTGAAATTATTTTTTATATCCTCCAGGGCTTATTGGGTTACTGCTTATTGAAGTATCAACCCTCCCAGTATGGCAGCTACCAGTTCCCTTTCTGGTCAGAAGCATTAGGCATTCTCATGGGTCTTCTCTCTTGCATGATGGTGCCAATTGGGATGCTGGTTGCTATATTAAAAGAAGAAGGGACACTTTGGGAGGTAAGTCATACACGCCAAAATACATATTGATGTCAACTATAGCGCCTATATTATTGCAGAGATCCGCAAATATATTAATTAAAAACATTTATGGAATGTTTAAAGTTTTTTGTTATACATTTGAATGTGATCAGTTTATTATAAATTGTACATGTACATATATAATTGTAATTTTTTCTTATCCATAGTTATTGAATTTAATAAATGAATATGTACATGGAGGAACCATATTTGTTAATATGCAGGCTATGGCTTCTGCTTATTAGCACTCTACACTGGTTGGACTTTATGGTATCTCTATTTCTGTCTGTCTTTCTGTCTGCTATGACTTAGAGGACAATAGATAATCAGTGGTTGCTGATCTTGTAATTTTCAGCAGTTGTAGGCATTCTGACTAATGTGCCTAATGTGCAAGAAGAAATAGAAAAGGAACACCGGCACTCCAAATGCAGATCAAATGCGTCTATGTATTGCAGCATATCACACAAGTGCAACGTTTCAGGGTCTCGTAGGATCCCCTTCCTCAGGCAGAATATGATGTGCAAGAAGACACTAGAGGGATAATCTAAATATCTGAAATATAGCAGTGACGTGCAGGACCGTTGGTTCCGGGTGAGGCATTACCCAGCCTTGCCCCCAGCACGTTCCACCACCAGCCCGACAAAGCCCCGTCCCACCCCAAAACCCCGCCTTGCCAAAACTCCGCCCCCAAGGAAGGAGGGAGGAGACAGGGAGGTGCCTCCCTGACCCTCACTTGCTTGTCACTGCTGAGGCATCATCCACAGAGCTCACACCTCTAACACAGAGTAAAGTCTGTGACAGCTCTTGTCTCACTAGTTAGGTTAGACAAGCAGTGGGGAAGCCCGCTGCTGTGTAACCTAACTACCTGTCAAAAGCCGGGATACAGCGCTGCCTGTAATTAACAGGCAGTGATCCATCCAGGATTTCCCTGCTGTGTAACCTGATAGAAGCCGATCTGAATAGAGAAGACGCTGTCAGCTTCAGACTTGAAGCTGACAGCTTTTTCCTCCATAATACTAGGGGAGGCTCTGCCTCACCTGCCTCCCCTGACCGCACGCCCCTGAAATATAGTTATGAAAATAGACTGACATCTCCTCACTTTGGATTACTTCATTCTTTAGTAAATCAGGCATAATAAATCACTGGCCACAAAAAGTTATGTGGACCACAGGTTACAGTTTTGTTGGACCCATTCTTGTTCTAGGTATGTAACTCATTCATGAGTCAACCATGGTTAAGGTAGACAGCCCCAAAGACACTTCCAAAACAGTCAAAAGGAACAACTCTATTTGGACATCATCAGCTAGGGATTAGCATATTTCCTTTTGGGTTTAAACTCACTTTAGACCCGTGTTTGTGCAGGTCTCCATCTTATACTGCAGTTTCAATCCCAAAACATGCTGTTGGTTTAGCTGGCTTCTTTCCACGTTCCCTCTAATTTGTGTATGAGGGTAGTAGTGCTGAGCTTCTTCATGCCACTGCTGTAAGTGAACCTAAGGGGTCTATTCACAAAGCTGCCGAAGGATCTGGCCATAGCTTCGGCCGATCCTTCGGCTAGCTTCGGCACCAGGACCCCTTCGGTTCAGGAGAACCGAGGGGGTGCTGTACGGGCTATTCACAATAGCCCGTACAGCTCCCGATCACGGAATAATATAAATGTTATAAACAAATATCGTGATGGACTTTCTAAGCTTTACTAGGTCTGACTTAGCAACCAAACTGCATAATTTTTTACAAGCGCCCTGCCTACATTAATTTAAACATAGTCTGTCAGTGGAAATAAAAACTGTTGTAGGTATACAGTGTAGGTACCTAGAGTTGTACATACATTACCTACAGCAGCCTCCAAATACCCACAGTTATGGCCGTTCTGATAGTCATAGGCTTGGAGCTTGCTTTTAATACATATAGGAACAGTCATTTTAAATTACTATTTTTCATCCAAATGCTTAATGTACACCCTCTTACCTGCTTTGTAGTCCAGTGCTTGTGTGCACATGGTCATAAACATTTACTTTTTGCTTTTGTTTTATAGCAGAAACACCCATTTGTGCATTGGCACGCTGTCTGTTTTTGAAGATATGTAAACACAGTCACTAAAATGCCATAAAAGCTTTAACATGTTATTGTCAATTCTAAAATCAGTTTTGATATATTTTTACATTATATTTATCTATATATTTACAATACCTGAGGAACTGCCATTTGAACATCCTTGCTCAGACGATTCTTATAATAGCGTCACAACGCTCTGTCTCTGGCCCAGTTGTGCTCCTGTGCATCACATGGGTAATATGGATATTACAAGTGGCCATTTCAACGCATGGTTCACTGTTATAACCATTAGGAAACTTACCTTTAGAAGTGTTATGCAGCCAGCACTGGGGTGCATGTAAACAGGAAGTGACTGAAGAGAGACTGCAGGAGATCAGCAGCACTGAGACGCAACAAGCATTAAAAAAAGGTGAAAACAAAAAACAAAATAGGTGTATATTATACAGAGAATTTTAGCACTCTATTGAGTAACGTGTTTCCTGTACATTAATGTTTTTGGGTGGTTTGTTGACAGACAGATGGAAAAACATTTGCAATGATTAGAATTGACAAATAAATATCACAGTATTATTATTGTTATAATTCCTACCATTACTCCATGATTATTATACAGACCCTGTTTTGCCTTTATTTTCCTGAAACAAAACCATGAGAGTTTAGACAACATGGGCTTTTAAGGTACATGACTCTGGGGTTTATTAACTAAAGGAATAGGGACTGTTCAGTTAACAAAAATTAATGTTTACTTTGCAAAGCGAATCCAAAGCTGATCTTTAAGCATATATAAAAGACACAAATGAATGCAGCTCTGTATTCATTAATACATGAATATATACATACATTACAGGAAGTTGGCTCTTGTTAGACGTGCAGACGAGGGGTGCCCACCTCTTCTTCCGGGTCACTGTGAGGTTGGGGTCTACTCACAAAGCTGCCGAAGGATCTAGCCGTAGCTTCGGCTGATCCTTCGGCTAGCTTCGGCCCCAGGACCCAGGCTGCTGTACGGGCTATTCCCTATAGCCCGTACAGCTCCCAAAGTTGGCCAAGCGGCTCAGTCGAGCCGAAGGCATATGCCTCAGCTCGACTGAGCCGCGCTGAAAGCCATGGCCGGCCACCAGCCTGCTTCTGACAGCTGTGCGGAGCCAGCCGTCATCTCACGGCTGGCTCCTGCCACTTGCAGAGAGATCAGCGTCCCTGGTTACCAGCTAACCAGGGACGCTGTCATTACACACTGAGAGCGGCCTCTCCATGTTCTCAGTGTGTAATGAGAGATGTTGTTTCTGGTTACCCGGTAACCAGGAACGCATCTGTCATTCCTCCCCCGGACGCTCTGGGAGTCTAATAGGCTCCCGGCCGCCTGGGAGAGAAACACTTTCTCACAGAAAGGTTGGAATCAGCCGTACCAGCCTGAAGTGAATAGCCAAACAGCGTTCGGCTCACTTTGCTTGGGGTCGGTGAGTCACTCGGCTGCCTAGGCAGCTTAGTGAATAGACCCCATTATCTCACTTCCTGTCTTTAGGACAACAGGAAGTGAAGGGCTATCGACCCCTAAGAAGGGAAATTCACTCCTGTAAGAGTGATCATTGTAAAAAGGCGTCTCCACTGAAGCTTTATCACCAATCCTTGTTTCCATGACAACCCAACATTTTCAAAATCCAATTGTCAGAGGGACAGAAAGAAAGTGAGGTGAAATCTTCTGAACAGTGGCACACACCAAAACAAACTTTACAGGGGGTAAACCCTTCCCTATGCTATCCAAAACAAAATAAAAAATGTTTTGGCTGGAGTTACACTTAAAAAATGTACCTGTTCCAACTTACATACAAACTCAACTTAAGAACAAGCCTACAGTCCCTATCTTGTTCGTAATCCGGGGACTGCCTGTACATAGGATGGTTGTGAAGAATGCCGCCAGCACACCGAAGATCCTTTTAGAATCACCAAATGCTCATTTTATGGAACAAATTGTCAAAATGGAAACAAGCGCCTTTTGGGACCTCGCAGGGTCATTCTTCACAACTATCCTAAGTAGGGTTGCACAGATACTTTTCGAGTACCAGTGCAGATACTTGGCATTTTCATGAGAACTACCAGGGTTGCAGCGGTTGCAGCTGGGACCCGGCTCTGGCACTCCACCACTGTCCTGAAATCATTAGTCGGTATTGTTTTAGAAAAACTGTCACATGACAATAAACAAAAATCTATCAGTACTCGTACTTGTAAGTACTCGGCAAGTACCAGTACTCGTACTCGCAAAACTGGTATCTGTGCATCCCTTTATTTATATTTATAAAAACAAAATCGTACATTAAAACAGAGATGTACAAATCCCAGGAGCTCAGTGTGCTCCTTACAAATGGCAGCTGCCTCCTAATTTTTGAATTTTTCTCTAGTGTAGTCTTGGAGCTCAGAAGTATCGGTACATGTACTCGTACTTGTACCGAGTACTGTACTTGGTATCTGTGCAACCCTAATCCTAAGCATAAAGAAATAGTCAGCTGTGCAGCAGTGCTTATATGTTAATGCAGTGAGCATTCAGAGAGGAGCATGGGACTGTATGTGACATATGTTTATATTAACTTAAACTCTAAATAAATAATCACTTAACACTCTTTTAATTTAATTGGCATTAATTGGCCGCTGCATTTTTATAGGATAAAAATTAAATCAAACTCTAATAACCAATCTTAATAATTAACCAATAATCAGGCAGTGACGAAGCCAGTCTTCACCCCCCGCAGGCTGTGATTTCTCCAAAACTCTCTGCAGCAGCTTCTCCATCTTGCACGGTCAATAAGCTTCAAAACGGGTTTTCCAACTGGATGATTTTAACCAACTCTGCACCTCCTTATATAGGGCATAAATCCCAACTGACATCCATTCTCGTGGTGATGTTTTCCCGCCAAAATAACGTTTTTTCCCGC